CTTCATTAATCCTTTAAATTCCAATATAGAGGATTATAATTATTTCATATTATTAAGTCTATTCTGATTTTCCTCTTTGTTAGCTTTCAAGGCTTAAGTTTTCATATCTTAAATCATGTCAATAGTCTCTGTAAGCAAAGCAAAGTTTTAATTATCTATTTTTTAATATAGACACTTTGCACATAAATATTTATCTTCCTGTCTTGTTGACGATTTTAAATCTACAACAATGATTTCTAATTTGTGAATTTAGCAATATCGTTTCTCTATTTCTGATTAGGATGACATTTTAATATTATTATTTTTATTAATAAAAAATGTAATTAATAAATCATTTTGTATATTAAATATATTTATTAATAGTGCAATATTTTTAATTGCTACCCAATATTATGCATCGATTAAATTTGCTCTAATCATGATAAGTTAAGAAACAAAGTGTTAGTTTTTATTGGGCTTTACTGTTCTTTATGTGGTGACTGGGTTATTTTGTATGTATAATCTGGACAACTTTTTATCAAGAATGTATAAGGAAGGTTAGGGAGGGTTATTTGAAATTGAATATATCTAATTTATCTTTTATTCAGGAATGTGGTTAGTTGTTTTGTAAACTTTTTTGATGTGTTAGTAAGTGAGAACCTATTTTAAGGCTTAAGTTTTGGGGTTGACATTGTACAAATTTACTTTTTAATTATTTAAAAAAATATCCTTGGTTGGCTGATGAAAAACATTAATGAATTTGATTTTTAGGAATAAAAATATAAATTATTTTTTTTTTAGAAAAATTCATTTTGCACTTTTAGAGAATTTCAACAAGGAAAATTAGATAATACGATATCACATAATCATGTTTCCAGAAGATTAAATTTTGGTAGCTTTTGTTCCTAAAATTAAAGAGGAAATTTTTCTTTTTTTCTTTTGATATGATAGATTTTTTTTTTTTAGATAAATATTTTTTTTTTGAAAATTGTAATATGGTTTTTTTATATTTCGATTTTATATAGAAAGTAATATTAATTATCATTCTCAGATTTTCAATTGGACTTCATTAAAAAATATATCCTTTATAAAAAGTAAATTATTTCATTTAAATTTCCTAATATTTATAAAACTGATAAATAACATATCAGAGTTTTTAACCAAAATTCTTGTTATAAAATATTGAATTTAAAAAAAAATGGCCTTTACGATTTTCCAAATTATGAATTGAAAAATAGCTTAAATATATTATGGATTGTTTGTTGCAAGGTTGTTTGTTGTAAATATATATTTTAAAATTCAGATAAAATTTAAAATACTTAATTTAATCAAAATAAATCCAATATAAAATTCTAAGAATAATTGGGTCTAAAAATTTTAAGGAAACAATTTAAGATTCAAGAAGATTAAAATAATTCAGATTTATAGATTAACTTAAAAGTCACTTGATTGCTCCAACAACTGAAAAACTCAATTAAATGTGCAACCTGTTTTTGTATGTGATGATGTATTTCTCAAACCAAATAATTCATTAGAAATTGATCCTGACTACTAGATGATCTTCTTTTGAGGTTCTAAACTTGAGTTGACATAATTTCTATAAAATATATGAAATAATAACTGTAGCTCGAAGAAGGAATTAGATAAATTTTTAAACTGGTCTATTGTTTATGATTTTTTTGTTTCTATTTTAAGATTTGACAGATTAGACTAAAGTTCATTTAAATTTCAATTAGTTACAATCTATATATCATTATAAATAACTGAAGTTTAAGAAATAGAAACAAAATTAAATTTACAAAATGAATTAGTCTCATCGAAATCATTGGTGGCAAATAATCAACAGATTGGAAGGAATAAACTATTGAAAAAGAAGTTGGCATATATAACCAAAATAAATAGAGGATTGAGAAAATAAAAATTCAAATCAAATTCACCTCAGATCAAAAAATCATCTATTAAAGGAATGGGACAATTCTGAGGATGTAATTATTTTTTTAACTTAAACTAAAGTGAATAAGTGCATGATGTCTTTGAGAATTTAGATATATTTAATAATATGGATCAAATAAAATATCTTTCTTGGCAAGGTTAATACAGTTTGAACAAAAAAAAAGATGGCAAATGGATTGTTACTTTGGATAAAAACATATTATAAAATGTTGGTGGGTATTATAAAGATGGTGATAAGAAAGGTGTATGGAAAGACCTTTTCCTTAATTATTATAAGTATATTATTAATATATGTTTTTATGAATAGGTAAGCAAAAGTTTTCGAAACTGGAAAATATTGCAATAACTTAAGAATTGGTTAATGGTATTATATTTTTTAAGATGCGAAGATGTAATTCTTTTTAAAATATATAGTGGCGGAGGGTTTTATAATTAAGATAGCTTAAAGTAAGGCTTATGGGATGAAATAGATGAAGGATTTTATAGTGGTAAAATAGTAGCTTATAATGGTGAATATTAGTCAAATGGTATGAAGGTAGGCAGATGGAATACTATGTATGGTAATAGATTTGAGAATATATATAAATAAATGTAAAAATTACTTAAGTATATGAAAATAAAGTGGTGGTGGATCGTATGATTAAGAAGGAAATTAGAAAAAAATTGGAAAGTGGATTGAATTGGATGAAGGGTTTTATTGTAATAAGAAAATCATTTATATTGGTGAATATAATATGAATGGTAAGAAGATAGGTATATGGGAAATTATGTATAATAAATGGGGAAATAGAGAATTTTAAGTGATGTAATAATTATTAAAGCATAAGGATTAAAGTGGTGGTGGATCATATGATTAAGAAGGAAATTAGAAAAAAATTGGAAATTGGATTGAATTGGATGAAGGGTTTTATGGTAATAAAAAAGTCACTTCCAATGGCGTATATAATATGAATGGTATTAAGATAGGTAGATGGGATACTATGTACGAAGGAGTTTTAATGTAAATTATAGAGATATAAGGAATATAGTGGAGGTGGAACATATGATTAATTAGGAAATTAGAAAAAAATTGGAATGTGGGTTGAATTAGATAAAGAGTTTGATTATTTTAAGAAAGTAATTTATGCTGGTAAATATAATGTGAATGGTAATAAGACGGATTTATGGAATATATTGCATCTTAAAGATAATAAAAAAGAATTTAAATAAATGTACATTTGTATAAGGGAATATATAGTGGTGGAGGATCATATGATAAAGAAGGAATTTAGAAAAAGATGGGAAAGTGGATAGAACTGGATGAACAGTTTTCAAATAATAATTAAGTTATTTATAATGGCGAGTACAATCTAAATTGTATGAAGGTAGGTAGGTGGGAAATTATGTATAACTAATATTATGATTTTCATGAAAAAGGATATCAATAGATGTAAATATTTTCAATTTAAGGAATGCAGTGGAGGTGGGTCATATGATTAAGAAGGATATTAGAAAAAGATAGGAAAATGGATAGAATTAGATTAAGAGTTTAAATATGAAAAATAGGTTACTTATAATGGTGAATACAATATGAATGGTATGAAAATAAACAGATGGCATATCTGGTTTACTTGTGATGGATATTAATAAAGGTAAAATTATTTAAGTAATAGGGATCATCTAGTTTTGGTGGATCATATGATTAAGAAGGAAATTAGAAAAAAATCGGAAGGTGGGTAGAATTAGATGAAGTATTTGATTATAATAAGTAAATCATTTATCATGGTAAATATGACATGAATGGCAGTAAGGTAGGTCATTGGGATATAATGTATTATAAAAATAATGAAAAAGAATTTAAATTAATGTAAACATTACTTAAATATAAGGTTATGTACAGTGGTGGCGGATCATATGACTAAGAAGGAAGTTAGAAAAAGATTGGGAAGTGGGTAGAATT